AAATATGTCCTGTAGAAACATTTAATGAACAAATAAAATGACATCCCTCCTTTCTATCCATTTGGTTTATTTTCATTAAAATTCCAGTTTCTGTATCTTTTATGTAAGACCTATGCTTTATCTCTCCTACTACCCATGATCTTGGAGTCAGCTGTTTTTGAGAAAAAATGCTCTCTGTGGCTGCCTGACGCTTTCTGAGCAGGATGGGTTTTCTCCATTTTTCTCTTCTCTTTTTTCCTCCTTGTCTATATTCTTTCCTCTTCTACCTTTTGTTTCCCTCCTCATTTTCCTGCTTATCTCTCGCCCCTTACCTTATCCATCCCTCTGTTATATGACATTAAGAAGAAGACAGACTGGTAGATAGCACCTGTTGTGATGAGTGTCTCCTTTCTACTTCCCAGGCCAACTGTGTGCCCCTTCCTGTTACCTAGACTTCTCCCAGCCCCAGCCTTGGTCTTCAGCCCTGATCGTCACATTCCAAGACACTCAGCTTTCTATTGAGAGATCCCTCCTGACATCATATTGTCCTTGGCCCCATTCTCATTAAGCCTTTCCTCCAGACATCTCTACCCTTCTTTCCATTGCCATGACTGTATTGCCATCCTAGCCCTTTTGTCTGAGCAGCTCTTCTTTCTAAGCACTGGCCCATCTTGATCCTGTCCTTTTACTATACAACAACACTGCATACTATTCCCTCACACACATTTAACTTCTAGGATCTCTCACCTGAAGCCCAAAACCCAACAGTTTTTTCCCTGTGTTGGCCTTGAGCTCAGATGAAGTAATTTTGTATTAGCTATTACCAATCATAGATTGTAACCAGAGACACAATCACGGGTGTGGCACATTAGCATGTAGATATTAAGACTTTCCTCACTGTCACAGCTTGAATACTGCCTTTCAGTCTGGAAATTGTTTCTTTTTTTAAAACAACAACATTATCCCAGCATTAAACTAATTTTCCAAGCAGAGCTGCCTCTGCATCACTGCAGTACAAGTTGCTGATATGCTCAGATATATTGGCAGAGTGCCATTATGTGATAACAATTGGACTAGCATTGCTTTTAATTGGCTAGAGCAGTGCACTGTATTTGTGGCATGATTTTTTCCTCTTTCAAATCCCTGATATTTTAGCCAAGAAGTACAGCCATTCAGTCAGTGTAGTGCAACATGCAAGGAGTGGCTATAGCCCTACGTACACTTCCTTTATTTAGAAATTCATGAAGGAACCAATCTCTGGTATCTTTTAAAGAGCTGGCACTGTGGAGAAAAGAAAGCAGCTAATACCCTGCAACTGTAGTTTGACTTTATCTATTGCATTTAGTAGTCGTGTGTGTATTTCAGAGATAACTTGGAAAGAGTCCTTCATCTGTAGCCTAGAGATGGTGTTAACTAACAGTCTCTTGTGATGGAAAGGAACCAAAAAAACCTAAAAAGGATCAGTTTTTTGTGACAGTAGTTCCGTTGGAGACAAGTCATGATCTGGTGTATGCAGCTAAATGATAGTATGTATTTGCCTCTTATTGCCATCTAAACTGACTCTGTGCTGAGTCAGCTGATGCTGGAGGGGATGGTCAATCCCAGAGCAAAGGGGGAGAGGGTGAAGTTATTCTTCACTCTCAAGACCTCAGGGAGTTTCCTAGAGGCCCGGAAGTTCAAAGAAATGAGCTTTCTGCCCCATCAAGCAGCCCCCTATGTCCCAGTTCCTCCCATTCCTTGTGCCGAGCTCATTTATTTTACTGCATTAAGCCTGTAATAATGCCCGATTAAGCTGCATCTGGGCAAGAAAAGGGGGTATCCAAGTTATTGGATACACTCAGCATCCAAGGGCCCATATGATGAAAAGTAGAAAATGTTTTAGGCAGGTGGGTATTACTGTGTCACTCCTTCCCGCTCTCTAACTACTGATCACTAGGGATACAGGGATCCTTCAGTTAGATTGTGCCTTGTCTTCTATTTCAGAGCTGTCACCTGGGAGTGACTGGAGAGTCTGTGGTGCGCAGTGTTTCTCCTTAGCTACATATCAGTTAGTTCAGGGAATTATGTCCTGTGCTTCCGCAACATCATCTCTTAACAACCAGGTGTGGCAAAGCCTCTGACCCAGTCTTTGAGCAGTAGGGAAGAATAAAGTGACTGCATAAGTGCAGTATTGCCACCACCGAGCATTGAGAAATCATGAATCAGGCTCCACACAATGTTGAAATGGGCTTAAAAATGATTTCTGAAATAATAAATGTGGGGTTTCTTTATGGGCTTCTGCGAGGGCTAGAAACTTTCATTTTTCTTTTACGTGAAAGCCCAAATTCTCACGTAATCACAAGACTCCAGGAGCCAGGGCTTTAAGAAAATCACCTGAGATTTGTGATAAAATCACAAGAGTTGGCAACACTAAAGTGCTATACAGCTGTCCCTGAGCAGGATTGTGCCCTTAGGGTTTGTGTAATCCCCCAAATCTGGGGTGGGGAGAGGGTCATACAGTCCACCAGTGCTGGCAGGCTCCACACCATGGAGGCAGGTAGGGCTAGGATTCAGCTTTTAGTTTACAATGTTGAGAAAAGTTGTTTTCTTGCTTTTTGTGTGTGATTGTTTTGTTTTTCATTTCTGTACTTTCTTTTGCTACACTGAAACTTAGAGCAAGTATATAATACAGACAGCCCAATTGCCAGGGTTAGGAATGTCTCCTGAGAGGCAATCTTGTTATCTGGGTATTGCAAGTGTTCCTGTGAATGGTAGAGTCCAAAGTGTGCTGACCTGGCTGTTAAGTAATGCCTTTGTGCACTTTGACAAAGCAAATTTAACATTATCAGCCTCTGAACTTGCACATTCTCTGTAGAAGCATAGCAGGAGCGTAAAACATGTACAATAGTGTCTGTTTAGCTAAAACGGGGGCGGGGAGGGGAGTATTTTCTTTACAGAGAAACAACATGAGACAAGTGGCTCCTCGTACATAATTTAAGCGTTCAGTGAGTTGCCATTTATTTCATTTTAGGAAGTACTTGTATTTTAATTACAGTATGTGCAATTGGTAGCTTGCACAGATCCAATCTGCCGTTTTATGAGGCTTGTAAAATAGGGTGCTCAGTTGGACTATGATCACTGAGTCCTAGGCTATATGTGCTAGTTGATTTTTTTTCTTTTGTACGTATTTTGAGCAATATAAAGTGTGGCAATCATTATCTCTTATTTAATTGAAATGCAATAGAAAAAAATTGGTATGGTAGAAGTTGGATCACTTTTGAGTAGACCAACTCCTGCAGGTATTCACAGCGTGTTTGTAGACTTTCCTTCTCAATGGAAGCCTTTGTAATAGTTTTATTCTTCCGTTTATGGTCAGTGTCGAGGCTTTCCAAGTTAAGATCCAGTGTTTCTATACGTCACAGACCTAAATTATGCCCCATTGATGCCAAGTCTTGAACTGAGGTTGTCACAACCTTGGGGAGAGGGGGAGTATCTTAAAGATTGATTGCATCAGGATGATGAGCCTCACTGCTCTTTCACTGCTACAGTGTCAAATAAAATGAGTCCTCAGGCAAAAATTCCAGATCATTAAACCTCCAAGTGGTCCATGGAATCCTTTTTGTAAATAAACTCAGACTTCATGGAGTTTGAAGTTAACCTGCCCTTTCTGAAGAACCATCTGGAGCATAGTGCTGTGGCAAGGGCTGGATTCTGCAGTAAATTCCATGACTATGGAATACACAGAGCTGTGCTTATAATCCTGGGGAAAGTACATGGAGATGGCCACGTCAGATTCACAGTTCCTCCCAACCTGATTTGTATTACAGTAGCATCTGGAGATCCCAACTGAGATAACAATCTCATTGCATGAGGTCCTGTGCAAACTTACAAAACACTGCCTGCCCCAAAGATCTTACAATCTAAACAGACAAGACAGGCAAAAAGTGGGAGGTGATGTGGTGGCACAGAACGGTGAAGTGGCTTGTCCAACGTCACAAAATAGGTTAGTAACAGAGCTAGGAATAAAGCCCAGGTCTCCAGGCTCACAGTCCAGCACCCTTTGCCCTCGACTACGCTAGTTCCAAAACATTGGGTAAGTTCTGACTCGTGATTCAGGCTTCATAGTTGGCCATTGTTTCCGTAATGGACTGACTCGCAAATCCCAGATCTGAGCTCCTGAAAATTTTGGCAAGATGTAGATATAGATTGCTCACTGTGACTGATAGCAGTTGCCCTAGACCTCTGGAAAAATACAGACATTTGCAGCTGTGTGGATTCCTTAACTAATGTCGGGACCACTTAAATCTTTTTAAAACTAGTGTATATCTTCAGTTAATATCTTTTTTATTCCTTTTCTAGCAGATTTTCCCCTTTACATGCTTATTTCTAGCACTGATGCTATCACACACATGTATGTTAGAGGTGTACAAGAGGCGAGCATGGGTCTCACCTGGCAAGCAGCCAAGGACCTCAATACAAATTTTTCAAAATCTTAAATGCTATCAGAAGTATGAAACCTGCAAGAGGGTTAATGTTTCTGCTAAACTATCTGAGAGCAAAGGGAGTGATTGTGCAGGAAAAGAACACTGGAGAGATGCTAAACTACTTCTGTGATGAAGTCTGACACAAGCCAATGTGGGAGATGTCTTCAAAGAGTAGTTCTGGGTTAGTAAAAAAAATTTAGGTTCTGTTAAGTTAAGGAGTCAGAACAAAGTGATAATTTAAATTGCAGTGAGTCATCAGGGCTGTATAATGTTCATCCAAGAGTGCTGGAGGAACATGAAAGTGAAGTAGATGAGCTACTAATAGGAATATGAACCAAAGGGTAGCCAATTTCATATATGTAGATAAAACATCTCTCTTAAAAATACACTATATCGTCTCCTTGGAATTGTTCACCTATAAGCCTTACTAAAAATACATGGTTGGACCCATAATTACGTAATAAAATTGTTACCAAGGCTACTTGACTAACTCAGTTTTCTACTACAAAGGTTTAAAATATTTTTGTCTTATCTGATCTGTAACATTCTCTGTTGCAGCATTAGCCACTATGTCCTTGTGATGGTTTTCACTATCTTCATCATGCTGCTGAGTGGACTGGCCCAGCTGCTCACTACAAAGAGAATTGAACTTTGGGGAAGAACTAAACGCCATTCCATGTGACAGAGCTACAAGTGTTTTTGCTATTTGAATTTTCACCCTTACTGTGAGCCAGTGTCCACCTCTGGAATGTAAATAGTTAATGGACTGGCGTGCCAAAATCCCATTTAGAGATTTTCTACTTTCCTGTGACTGAGATTATGCTTGCAGATTGGCATTTAGAGATCTGCTGGGGTAAAATAGTCTTAATTTTATTCCTTAAATATATTTTTTGCAATAAAAACAGTGATTAAGTCCTGGTTTAAAACATCAGCAACCATCTTTATTGTATTTTTCTCTTACTATAACTCATCTTGAAGTCTTTAAACCACGATCTGAGGACTTCAATAGCTCAGACATAGGTGAGAGGTTTATTGCAGGAGTGGGTGGGTGAGATTCAGTGGCCTGCATTGTGCAGGAGGTCGGACTAGATGATCATAATGGTCCCTTCTGACCTTAATATCTATGAATCTTCCAGCGTTTATATCACACACCTGCAAAATCTTGGCTTTCATCCCAGGCCTAGCACAGCCTTTACATAGGAGCCTTACACAGACAAACACAATAAAGTAAATGTGAACAGACCAATGCTTTGTGATATTATACAGCATAGAAAATATGCATCAGGTAACTGTGAGGTCACCTCAACTTTCACTAGCTGTGAATGTGTGAGAATAGGTGGAAGCAGCAGCTTGGCATTGGTAGTTGTTGAGTTGATTCTCATTTTGCATATGATGTCCACTCTGCCACTCAGATGTTTCCTCCTCTGCGAACATTTGCAATCAGCTCCTCCACAAAATGATCACCTGGTTAACAGCTATGCAAGACACCAACACAAAGGCAAACCACCAAGTGTGACCATGAGACATCTGAGTGCATCACCAGACAGAAGCACCTACATGCTCTGTCATCAGTGGCCCTCTATAGCACCCGTTAGCTTCAAACCTGCTGTGGGTCACATAGGAACTGTCCTGTGACAATCCCCCTCCAACAGGTAGAGCAGGATTTCAAACCAGTAACCCCAGGGCCACAAAGTAACCAGAACCTGCGCATACAGTTCTGGGCTTCATCACCCATTGAGCTCTGCTATTGTATGAGTCAAACAAGGGTTGTATACACAACTGTCAGAGAGCACGGTATATTGCCATTGTAGTAGCTTTCATATTTGAAACCACACAAAACATTACAGGAGGTCCTGGGGATTATGCATGTCTACACACAGTACCAATAGACTGGCCTTCAAATAGGACACCCCCACACATTATAAACACACATTTTCTTATTAATCCCAACACATAACAGCATCATTGACAAATCACACTACGGGATAGCACCACATCACAGCTCTGAGTTGCAGCCAGAATTCACAGGACCCATAGCAGATGTATGCCACAAACAGTGCTGGCAGCCAAGACTAGAGTATGCCAGACGTTCATCATGGGGGCAGTTCCATTACCCTACCCCCAGCTAGGACCCCTGGCACTTGGCTAGGATCATGCAGCCATCTAAGGCTCAAGAAACTAGTCATCCCTGCAGGAAGGCTGGCTGGGAGAAACCAGCTACAAACATCCATTTGCTTGTTGGGTGCCATTAAACATCTTATCATGGGCCTGCAGTCATTTATATGACTTCAAAAATGCCACTCAATAGCAACAAGATGCTGGGGATGAAGAGTCATTCCAGGGATGACCACTGATGTGGTGACTCCATCAGGCATGTCCCTACCACACCATCAAAACAAGGATGTAAGTACAGTTGGCCAATGCCCCAGACAACACCCTATGTACAACAAGAACCAGACAGCGTATACAAAGAATGTGTTGAAATGCCCACCACTGCTAGCTGTTTCCTACAGCAGGGTTGAAGAACAACAAGAAGCAGGTATGATGCGGATGATGGCTAGATGTGGGAGCCCACACACACAACTCCCTCGCTATGTTGAGCCGCTGCTGTAGAGGGCTACCCCACAACATCCACTTAGCACGTCAGTTGAAGGGAGAGACAAGGGAACAATCTATTTATTTAAGAAGAGGCACTACACACAACCATTGTCCCAAACCATGTCTCCCGAGGCATCACATGGCCTGACAATGACCAACTGAGAACTGTGTCCACAGCCCGCTTTCCACTCCATCTATGTCTGGACCACCTTGCCCACCAGAGCCTCCACCTCCAGGCCAACATTCTTTCCACAGCCATTGTTACCGTGTGTAACAGGATGGCTTGATCCTTCGGGGCTGGAGGCCTGCGGCCAGCTTACCTTGTTTATTGAAGAAGCTTCTCCAGCCCACCTGTGCCATGTTAACAGCCTGGATGGGGCCTACTGGAGGGCAGCAAGAAACTGCAGTCAAAGGCAGGGTGAGCTCAGGAAACTGCAGGGAGTGGGAGAGGCTCCAGCCAGGAAGATCAGCCTCCTGGCTTTTACTACTCAACTCCACAGGTAGGAGAAACTCTAATCAGGTAACGCCTGGGTGTGATAAAACCCAGCTTCAGGGAGGAGGGTTGGGGTGTGCTTACGTAAGGGGACAGGAACACTGAACTGGGCTTGGGGCCTGGAAAGCTAGTATGTATCCAGAGGACTAAATGAATTGGACCTCCAGAAGGGGAGTGACTGAATTATCTTTGGATTGAGTGAGTTATTTGGAGGCCCTGTAGAAGAGGAAACTGAGGCAGGGGCCTCTCCTGGCCCTCTTACATGGAGTATGCTTGCTAACATCAGCAGCTCTAACATCCAGCTCAGCCATGTGCAGCAGTGTGATGTGAAGCAAATGGGTCAGAAATAGAAGATACAGGAGCCTGAGACACGTTAGTGATGTCTCCTGCTTTCTTCTGACATAAGCAAAACGTGATGAAAGCAGCTTCTTTAGGCATGGTAGAGAATAGCATCTGGGCATGGCACAGCCAAATTGGCACCTATCCAGATGAAAACACTGGATGCAGTTAATATCCATTGTTTCGGGAATTCAGCTGGGGAGACAGTAGGCTAGAGCACCAATCAGCTATCCTGTCTCCCAGGGGTTAATAATGCTGGTAATAAAAATGTCATACACACCACTATGTCTAATGACACTACTGGGCTATAATTATTACTTGATAGACTACTGCTGTAAAGGGATAGTAATGCCAGTCAGTGTGCAAAAACACACACATTTAGGCAGGTAGAAGTCGCTGTCTAGGAGGGGAGAGTTGGAACCCACACAACACTAGAATTGTGAGGTGAACAATGGTGCCTTCTGACTATAGGCTCCATGTTATCTGCTTCTGCATGGGGCTATTTGCATTCCTTTGTGTGGAAGTGGAGTGGGGGGACAATGGGCATAGGAGAGGAGCCACAACATGCATGGTGTGTTTCTCCGCCACTATTCCCCTGCAAGGACCTGAGCGGCTAATTGCATCTGCCATTCTCTGCTGGGTGATGGTGGCAGTGACCTTAGCTGACATCTCCCCATTCCCTGCCAAGCTCTTGAATTTCTCTGCCCATTTGTTAATTCCCTTTCTAATACGATCTCCATAAGAGTACTGCAGTTTCCGTAGCTGATTGGCTATGCTATTCATGTATCTTCCCATGGTGGGGCTCTAGCAGGAGTCTTAGCCTGCACATTTGGATTTACTTCAATTCTGAGGTGGAGTAAATTCTCCAGCTCCGCAGCTTTATGCTGCCAACTGGGCTATGTGCCAAGGTACTTTCTCCCTCCCCCGTGGGTCGAGTTCCTCTCCTTTCCGGAGATAAACAGTCCAAAATAAAAAGTCCTCCCAAATTTGCAGTCCAACCAGCCAACAAAATCGCTTTCTTAGTTGAGCCCAGCCTTTCCTTCACTCTGGGTCAGCCTTTCGTCTTTCTCGTCTAATGCATAGCAACTGGGGCTGGTAGGTTAACCAGCCCCAGCTCCACCAGTAACCAGGATGTTTTAACTCTTGCTGCCTGAGGCTGAAGCTCTACTGACCTGACAAGAAAAATGGGGTCACTCTTTGAGTATCTGTCCATGTGGATCCCACTCTTGGTGACTGGCTAAGGAGGCAGGAGCTAGGGGTCCTGCTGAAATAATGAATGTAAGACAGCTCAGCATCAGATCTAGCAGCTGATGCAAGACAAATACTGATGGATAAAAGTCTGAACTCCTCTCCAAGTAGCTGCCCTACAAATTTCAGCTATAGAGACCCTGCTAAGGGATGTCCTGGAAGTTGCCTGAGCTCTAGCTGAAGGAGGTTTAATCTGAGAAGTGAGGAGTCAATTCGATTAAGTCAGAAGAGACCCTGATACAATCTGAGATCCATTTGTGACCTCTGGATTTCTCTTCAAAGGCTACAAATAAATAACCTGGGTGATTTACTAAATGGTTTCATCCTATGCAGGTAATAAGATAGCACTGTCCTAACAACCAGGGCATGGGGTTTTGTTTCCCAGAGAGATGAATTAGGCTTAGGGGAAAACACTGGTAACAGTATATATTGGCTGAGGTCAAGGTCTGAAACTACTTTCTGTATACATTGTGGGTGAGGTCTTAAAGTCATTCTGTCCTAATGAAAAACAGTGAATGGAGGGTCAGCTATTGAAGACTGAATCTCACTCACCCTCTGTGCTGAGGTAATTGCCATAGGTAGTAGAAAAGCATGATGATGTGGGTTCAAAATGAAGTTTCATCAGAGAGGTAAGAACTATGTTTAAGATTCAGGAAGGAGGAAATCTCTCTAACTGGCAGCAACACTGGTTCCTCAAGATGTTCTGTCCATGTGGATCACATGACCCACCTTCCTTCACCACTGCTACAGCGTCCTTTTATTTGGGATTATGTTTCACGAAGACACTGAGTGACGGCTGAGGTTGCTGCACCTGTTGTCCTTGGCAGGGGGGATGAGGGCATGCAGGGAACAGGTGCAGCCCCAAGAGACACTGCTGGTTAGAACATTCCTATATGGTATGCATGTGCCCTAAGGGTGGTATCCACATGGGCACACCTCAAAGAATCCATAACAGTAAAGTAAGTAGCCATTCTTTTTGTCCTTTGACTCTCCTTTGATGGCTGCCCAGGAGATTCCCATGGCCCAAAGAAGTGGGATAACCCATCTCACGTGGATTTAGTATTTGAGTAGGCATGGGCAAGGGCATGCCTCTTTTTCTCCACAATTCTACTTGGTTTTTAAGGGGTTCAGTTTGCATTCCAGAATGTACCAAGTGTGCACTGGGGCCTGCATCAGCTGGCACTGATTGCATGTGGAATGGAGTAAAGTCCCTTTGCGTGCATGTAGCAAACCGTCTCGTTGACTTTACACAG